TTCTTGTACAAAAATGCTTTAGCCAGACTTATGTAATTTACTTACCCAAAAAGAAGGGCAGAGGGATGAGTATACTTTTTTATACCACTGGCAGACATAGGGATCACTGCCTTTGGCATTCATAGCTTTCTCACAGCGATGGAAATCTGCCAGGAGGGGGGAAAAAAAACATTTCATGGAGCAAAATGCATCTAATCTAGAAGAGTCCTTAAAAACAGAATCATGTATAAGCCTGAAGAATCTATAAGACTGTGTATTGTCCAACACCTGGGTCTCCGAAATAAAAGACCCAACATTCTGCCCTCCAACACATCCAAATACAATTTGATGATGATGATGATACATCATCAAACCCAGTGTTTTCTCAATCTACAATCAGTTGTTGCTACAGAGAAAGTGGGAGTTCAATATTGTATTATACAATCAGCCTAACCAGAAAATAAAAGTTATCAAATCCCCACAACTCAGTATTCTTGCTTGTATATTTATTTATTTATATTTATTAAATGTATATAGCACTCACTACTGGAGTGACTCTTATATGCAAGATAAACTGACTGTTTTTCAGAAGACTGAGGAGTTATTTTAGCACAATCGGGACGGTATAGTTAAAACTTTGTTTTACCATGGCAAGCTATAACCCAAGCTGTCAAAAAAGTTCAAAAGAAAAATCGGAGAGAAAAAAAGGAAATGTAATGTGTTAAAAACTAAAAAAAAAAAAAAAAAAAAGCCAAGGAAATTATTCATCATGTAATTAATGTTTTTAAATATAGGGGGAAGAAACAGTAAAACCATTTTTATGTTTAAGCTTTCCATAAATAATATATTATTTTTACTTCAATAGAGAAAAATATGACCTTTTTATAAAGATTTCAGAATATGAAGTCTTTTTTCTCATCCATAATACAGAAACGCAAACGTTCACATGCATCAATAATACTAACCAAGGTAGTTCTGCCAGCAGCCTCGTGTTTGATTTTGATTGGGGAACCTACTGTCAAACGGAGCTGTTTTGTAGTTCTCTATCTTGCTTTTTATCGCTTCAGACATACTTTTTTCTGAAAATAGAAGAGAAATCAGGAAATAGATATATCCTGGTGCTTCAAAATGTCAGCTATTAGAAGACATTCCCTTAGGAAAAAGATCAAGTTTTCCCTATGATAATTTTATCACCCAAAGAATTTAATACTGGATTGCCATAGATATTTTATTCGAAGTAGAATCCTGCTGATAAATCAATGTCTACTCCCTATTATATGCCTTCTTACTGTCTTGTGATCCCTTCCTCTACAATGAATATAAATATGAACATTATTTCTCTTCTTACTAATTATATCAGTGTTGGAGTTAGCATTGCAAAGGACAGAAGAATGGGGGAAGAGGGCTGTAAGATCTACCCTTTTACTTGGCTTTCTTGCAAGTCAAGTTTTGGAAACCTTTCTCACCCTGTGGCCTCACCCAGCTTTGGGATAGCATTTTCTGGACACTGTAAAACAAAGGAAAGCTAAGTAAAATCATTAGCACATTTGTGATCATGTGACTGGACTTAGTGACAGCTTTGTTTAACAACTGGGTTGGACTGTCAAGGACTATTGGTTCAGTCCATTTCTCCTATCTGCAATCAGTGAACCAGAAATTAAATCTTCTGCTCACATCAGTTATAGAACTATGTCTGGAACCCCTTCCTGCTATATAGGAGAAAGCCTTGGTACCCTTAGCACTGATCATCAGCTATTTTAATCTAATACATTAATATGCCTCTCTCTTTTTAAAAACCTGGCAACTGAAAGGAGATAATGGTTTCACCCTTAAGCTTTAAAGCAGACAAACTGAATTTTAGCAAATCAGTTCCAGATATATATTCTAGCCTGCTGAACAGAAATAACAGAAGAGTTGGAAGGGATTATTATATAATAATAATATATATGAGATAAATAAGGCCTCAGAATGCTCACGTCAAGAAATTGGAAGCAGATATTTTATTCTGCGTTCTGCTTGCTGGCTTCTGCCCAAAATAATAAAAAATGGGTGTACTTGGTAGGCTAATCAGATTAATAAACAATTAAATGTCTGAACGTTGAACAGGTGACTAAATAAACATCTTGCTTATTTATTAGTTCAATCGAGATGCAGTTTGGAAAAAAACTGCATCTACCCAAGTGATGCTTTCTAAGCAGCTCCTAAAATCTTTTAACTGAACAATGGGAAGAAGAAAGCAATATTAAGTTTTCATTAGACTGCTAGTTGTGTCTCTTTAACAGACTTCCTGACACTTCACATAACAGAAAAGATCCTTTGCTAAAACAATTACCTATGGCTGAGGATGAAAGGTACGAAGTTATCTTGCCTGCAGACCAGAAAACAGTAACAAAAATGACATGCCACACGTGAGACAGTGTGCCCACTGCTGTAATATTAAGCACTGAAGATATATACACATTAGCTGGGTTCAACAGCACCCTACGCTCAGACCACAAAACAGTTATTGTGTTCAGATATCTGATACCCAAATAAAACAATTGTAGGAGGGCTTCACTTTTGACTGATATAATATGGTAAACCAGTGGCTTCCCATCAGTCACGGAACCATAGATATTGCCTCATTTCATTTCAGGCTACCCCAGTTTTTGTGTAACTTCAGTTTTAGAAATTCAAACTGTTCTAGTAAAATCAAGGCAAAGGGGAAGGGGACATTTCATGGCCAAATCTGATGTACCCTAACTTTCTTGCCAGTGTTCCTAATCTTTATTTAAGTGCTAATCTATCATAAAAAGACAAGTTATCCAAAATGGAAATACTGGCACACAATCCTCCAACTAATAATGGTGATGGTTTATTAAGCTTGTGGAATAGTATCATTTGGCTGGAAGGTTACCTTTTGAATTAAGTCTGCTTGGGTGCACATTCTTTTCAAACAGCTTTCTTTTGTTGCAGGTAGTCCTCGACTTACAACAGTTCATTTAGTGAAAGTCCGAAGTTACAACTGCACTGAAAAAAGTGACTTAGGACCATTTTTCACACTTATGACTGTTGCAGCATCCCCATGGTCATGTGATTTACACTCCAATGCTTGACAACTGGTTCCTATTTATGACGGCGGTAGTGTCCCCGAGGATATCTTTTGCGACCTTCTTATGAGCAAAGTCAACGGGAAAGCCAGATTCACTTAACAACAATGTTACCAATTTATCAGTTTAACAATGGCAGTGATCCACTAACAAATGCCACAAGAAAAGCCGTAACATGTGGTCAAATTCACTTAAGAAATTTCCTCGCCACATAATTTTTTGGGATCAATTGTGGTGGTAAGTCGAGGACTGCCTGCTTTGGAGAGAAGACTGTCCTTGGGCAAGGCCTCAAAGGGCTTTCTCTGAATGGAAAGAACTTCTTCGCAGGACAAATGGGAAAGATTTTCCCCAAACTGTCCTCCTCCACCTCCTTCTTCCCTGAGCCTCCTTTTCTAGTACTTGAGGGGTGGTGGGTGCTAAGAATAGAATTTTTTATTGGCCAAGTGTGATTGGACACACAAGGAATTTGTCTTTTGTGCGTAAACTCTCATGGTACATAAAAGCTATAAATGATAAATCATCACTTTTAAGAATAATTATTTTTAAGAATAAGGGAAAGAGGGAGGGAGGATGGAAGGAAGGAGGGAGAAAAGAATGGAAAGAAAAAGAGAGAGACAGAGATAGATAGATAGAGAGAGAGAGAGAGAGAGAAGGAAGGAAGGGAGGGAGGGAGGGAGGGAGGGAGGGAGGAAGGACGCAGAACTGTGGCTGTTTGGGATCCAAAGCTCCCTTAGGACCCGGCCTCCTCCTCCCCCTGTTGCTGCCACCGCGTGCACTGGACTCCAACCCCCATCATCCCCAACTGACACGCCGATTCAGTCTGAGAGACCCAAAGACCCGGACGGGCGCAGTTCCCCTTCGGGGTGGGGAGGCGCCATCAGCACCGGGTCTTCCCGGGCTCTTCTCGTGAGGAAACCCAAGGCCCCCTCCGGTCCTCTCCTCCTCATTCTCCCCGCCCGGCTGAGAGCGAGTCCCCGGCTTCTCACCGCAACGAGGGCGACGAAACAGCGGCTTCCTCAAAGTGACTTTCACCTGCAGAACAGGCCACCAAGACGCCGGAACCAGCGACGGGGAGGCTAGAGCAGCACCGGAAGAACGAGCGCAAGGACGCTCTAGTTCCGCCCCTCGTTTTAGCGGGATCTCTCACGTGGCCAGCTGAGGGCTGCACTGGCGCCAAAATAATGGAGCTTCTTCTAGAGAAAAAATGGAGAACTAAGCCCGCCTCCCATGACTTTGTGGACTTCAACTCCCAGAATTCCTGAGCAAGCCATGCTGGCTCAGGAATTCTGGGAGTTGAAGTCCATGGGTCATAAAAGGGCCATAATTCCCTACCACTGCTCTAGACAGGCTGGCCAACCTGTATACATAATCTAGATACTGAATTGACCCATTTTCTGGAGTAGAAGACTTGCAAAGAGAAGGAACTGACAGCTGCTGTACCTTCCAGTATGCAGACTTTTTTTCCCTTATGTTCATCGCATTTCTTTTTTTAAAGTTTCCTACAGCTATTAATGATTATTCATTTTAATTAAGCTTCACTACAATAACCTACACTAATCTTTTTTCCCTAATACTTGACAGTGTAAAATTCTTTGAGAGAGGGAATATCCCCTTGCTAGGCTATGGTCTATTTAATCATGTTAATTAATGTATTTCAATGCATATGGCCATCCATTTCAAATTCATGACTTTGGACAATTCAAAACTAAAAAATCATACAAATACAGTGAGCAGCTGGGATATAAAAACCATCAATAGCAATTGACTCTGTTACTGTACAAACTGCTATGCATTTGAATCCTCAAGCCTGGTGACAAAACCAGGCATTTTAAGGCAGTGGCCCCCAAATTTTGGGACATCGGGTTCCATGGAGAGACATTTTTTCCGCAGACCGGAGGGGACATGGTTTTGTGTGCTGACTGCATCCCGCAGATGGGGCTTTCCTTGACTGAGCAGCCCAATTTCTGGCAAGCTGTGGCCCGGTGCCGGTACATGGACCGGGGGTTTGGGACTCTTGTTTTAAGGCCTTGTAAAACACCACAAAGGTTAGGGCCAATCTAACCTTGGAGTGGGCAGGATTAGCATGAGAGAAACGTCTTTATTCCTGGTCCTGCCAGGTAGGATTCCCAAATACCAAGCATCTCCTGATTAGACAGACAATAACAGGGAGAAACAGTCGTTCAAATAACCCAGTCCAATACCATATATGATATCCAACTATAGTAGGATACCCTCTCCCAGTTGTATAGAATTCAACTTCCACAATTCTCCAAAATTACCATCCTGGCTGGGAAATTCTAGACAGAGGTCTCCAAACTTGGCAACTTTAAGACTTGTGGACTTCAACTCCCAGAATTCTCCAGCCAGTTATGCTGGCTGGAGAATTCTGGGAGTTGAAGTCCACAAATCTTAAAGTTGCCAAGTTTGGGGACCACGGTTCTAGGAGCTGAAATCCAGGCATCTGTAGCAGTGGTGGGATTCAATTTTTTTTACAACCAGTTCTGTGGGTGTGGCTTGGTGGGCATTGCAGGGGAAGAATACTGTAAAATCTCCAATCAGAGGTGGTATTTGCTGGTTCTCCGAACTACTCAAAATTTCTGCTACCGGTTCTCAAGAACTGGTCAGAACCTGCTGAATACCACCTCTGATCTGGAGGGTATGAAATTTAAAGGTTAAGACTAATTTTAACTAAGTCACATTTAAAGAAATTGCAGCTGTGGAGAGCGTCCATCCAGGGTTGTGCATAGCCAGCTTTCCTGTTCTCCATTTTTCCAAAACTGGAAAATGTGGAGAGTTTTCAAACCAGTCTCACAACACTAAAAATTGTTGGGCTTAAGTTAGTATCAGTTGCCCCCACTATTAATAATACAGGAACAGTCATTTTCCTCCCACCACACAGACAAATTGAGCGTGGGTTGCCTTTGTATGGTCTAACTCCCCTGGCCTTTTTTCTTTGTTTAGAATAGAATTCTTTATTGGCCAAGTGTGGTTGGACACACAAGGAATTTGTCTTCGGTGCAAATGCTCTCGGTGTACATAAAAGAAAAGATACATTCGTCAAGAATCATCAGGTACGACATTTAATGATAGTCATAAGCAATTTAATGATAGTCATAAGCAATCAAATCATACTAGGAAACAGTCAATATAAATCGTAAGAATATAAGCGACAAAGTTACAGTCCTACAGTCACAAGAGGGCGGGGAGGGGTGATAAGGAGTGATGAGAAGATTAATAGTAATAATAGTGCAGACTTCATAAATAGTTGGACAGTGTTGAGGGAATTATTTGTTTAGCAGGGTGATGGCGTTCAGGAAAAAACTGTTCTTGTATCTCGTTGTTCTGGTGTGCAGTGTTCTATAGCGTCGTTTTGAGGGAAGAAGTTGAAACAGTTTATGTCCGGGATGTGAGGGGTCTGTAAATATTTTCACAGCCCTCCCTCCTATTGACTCGTTCAGTATACAGGTCCTCAATTGAAGGCAGGTGGGTAGTAATTGTTTTTTCTGCAGTCCTAATTACTCTCCGAAGTCTGTGTCTGTCCTGTTGGGTTGCAGAACCAAATCAGACAGTTATAGAGGTGCAGATGACAGACTCAATCATTCCTCTGTAGAACTGTATCAGCAGCTCCTTGGGCAGTTTGAACTTTCTGAGTTGGCGCAGAAAGAACATTCTTTGTTGTGCTTTTTTGATGATGTTTTTGATGTTAGGTGTCCATTTTAGGTCATGTGATATAGTAGAACCTAGAAATTTGAAGGTCTCTACTGTTGATACTGCGTTGTCTAGTATTGTAAGAAGTGGTAGTATGGGAGGGTTTCTTCTAAAGTCTACCACCATTTCTACAGTTTTGAGTGTGTTCAGTTCCAGATTTTTCTGGTTTCACCACGAGGCAAATTGTATAACCGCTGATATAGAACCAAGTTACGTAAGGGTGAGAACCTGGCATTTTTTTCACATCTGTGCCTCGGCCTTGGAGTGGAAGAGAACAATGTGCTTAATCAAATATTTTAAACATTCTTGCCAAAATTGTTTCCTATTTCTAAACTCCAAGC